TTAGAATTCAAGGCACACTTAACCAGCATGGCTGCCACATAATTCTACAGTGATACACCATCCCATCTGGTTTGGGCTTAGTGGGACTATCATTTGTTTTTCAACAGGACAATGACCCATCACACCTGCAGGCTGTGTAAGGGCTATTTTACAAAGAAGGAGAGTGATGGAGTGCTGCATCAGATGACCTGGCCTCCACAATCCCCCGACCTCAACCCAATTGAGATGGTTTGGGATGAGTCGGACCGCAGAGTGAGGAAAAGCAGCCAACAAGTGCTCAGCATATGCGGGAACTCCTTCAAGACTGTTGGAAAAGCATTCCTGGTGAAGCTGGATGAGAGAATGCCAAGAGTGTGAATAGCTGTCATCAAGGCAAAGGGTGGCCATTTGAAGAATCTCAAATATAAAATATATGTTGATATGTGTAATCCTTTTTTGGTTACTACATGATTCCATGCAGTGGGGAAAAATTGTCTTTAGCCAGCCACCAATTGTGCAAGTTCTCCCACTTAAAAAGATGAGAGAGGCCTGTAATTTTCATCATAGGTACACGTCAACTATGACAGACAAATTGAGAAAAAATAATCCAGAAAATCACATTGTAGGATTTTTAATGAATTTATTTGCAAAATATGGTGGAAAATAAGTATTTGGTCACCTACAAACAAGCAAGATTTCTGGCTCTCACAGACCTGTAACTTTTTCTTTAAGAGGCTCTGCTGTCCTCCACTCGTTACCTGTATTAATGGCACCTGTTTGAACTTGTTATCAGTAAAAAAGACACCTGTCCACAACCTCAAACAGTCACACTCCAAACTCCACTATGGCCAAGACCAAAGAGCTGTCAAAGGACACCAGAAACAAAATTGTAGACCTGCACCAGGCTGGGAAGACTGCATCTGCAATAGGTAAGCAGCTTGGTTTGAAGAAATCAACTGTGGGAGCAATTATTAGGAAATGCAAGACATACAAGACCACTGATAATCTCCCTCGATCTGGGGCTCCACGCAAGATCTCACCCCGTGGGGTCAAAATGATCACAAGAATGGTGAGCAAAAATCCCAGAACCACACAGGGGGACCTAGTGAATGACCTGCAGAGAGCTGGGACCAAAGTAACAAAGCCTACCATCAGTAACACACTACGCCGCCAGGGACTCAAATCCTGCAGTGCCAGACGTGTCCCCCTGCTTAAGCCAGTACATGTCCAGGCCCGTCTGAAGTTTGCTAGAGTGCATTTGGATGATCCAGAAGAGAATTGGGAGAATGTCATATGGTCAGATGAAAAACTCAACTCGTCGTGTTTGGAGGACAAAGAATGCTGAGTTGCATCCAAAGAACACCATACCTACTGTGAAGCATGGGGGTGGAAATATCATGCTTTGGGGCTGTTTTTCTGCAAAGGGACCAGGACGACTGATCCGTGTAAAGGAAAGAATGAATGGGGCCATGTATCGTGAGATTTTGAGTGAAAACCTCCTTCCATCAGCAAGGGCATTGAAGATGAAACGTGGCTGGGTCTTTCAGCATGACAATGATCCCAAACACACCGCCCGGGCAACGAAGGAGTGGCTTCGTAAGAAGCATTTCAAGGTCCTGGAGTGGCCTAGCCAGTCTCCAGATCTCAACCCCATAGAAAATCTTTGGAGGGAGTTGGAAGTCCGTGTTGCCCAGCGACAGCCCCAAAACATCACTGCTCTAGAGGAGATCTGCATGGAGGAATGGGCCAAAATACTAGCAACAGTGTGTGAAAACCTTTTGAAGACATACAGAAAACGTTTGACCTGTGTCATTGCCAACAAAGGGTATATAACAAAGTATTGAGAAACTTTTGTTATTGACCAAATACTTTTTTCCACCATAATTTGCAAATAAATTCATAAAAAATTCTACAATGTGATTTTCTGGAAAAAAATGCTCATTTTGTCTGTCATAGTTGACGTGTACCTATGATGAAAATTACAGGCCTCTCTCATCTTTTTAAGTGGGAGAACATGCACAATTGGTGGCTGACTAAATACTTTTTTCCCCACTGTATGTATTATTTTATAGTTTTGATGTCTTCACTATTATTCTACAATGTAGAAAATAGTAAAAAAATAAATAAAGAAAAACCGTTGAATGAGTAGGTGTGTCCAAACTTTTGACTGGTACTGTGTGTGTGTATATACACTGCTCAAAAAAATAAAGGGAACACTTAAACAACACAATGTAACTCCAAGTCAATCACACTTCTGTGAAATCAAACTGTCCACTTATGAAGCAACACTGATTGACAATAAATTGCACATGCTGTTGTGCAAATGGAATAGACAACAGGTGGAAATTATAGGCAATTAGCAAGACACCCCCAATAAAGGACTGGTTTTGCAGGTGGTGACCACAGACCACTTCTCAGTTCCTATGCTTCCTGGCTGATGTTTTGGTCACTTTTGAATGCTGGCAGTGCTTTCACTCTAGTGGTAGCATGAGATGGAGTCTACAACCCACACAAGTGGCTCAGGTAGTGCAGCTCATCCAGGATGGCACATCAATGCGAGCTGTGGCAAGAAGGTTTGCTGTGTCTGTCAGCGTAGTGTCCAGAGCATGGAGGCGCTACCAGGAGACAGGCCAGTACATCAGGAGACGTGGAGGAGGCCGTAGGAGGGCAACAACCCAGCAGCAGGCCTGCTACCTCCGCCTTTGTGCAAGGAGGAGCAGGAGGAGCACTGCCAGAGCCCTGCAAAATGACCTCCAGCAGGCCACAAATGTGCATGTGTCTGCTCAAACGGTCAGAAACAGACGCCATGAGGGTGGTATGAGGGCCCGACGTCCACAGGTGGGGGTTGTGCTTACAGCCCAACTCCGTGCAGGACGTTTGGCATTTGCCAGTGAACACCAAGATTGGCAAATTCGCCACTGGCGCCCTGTGCTCTTCACAGATGAAAGCAGGTTCACACTGAGCACATGTGACAGACGTGACAGAGTCTGGAGATGCCGTGGAGAACGTTCTGCTGCCTGCAACATCCTCCAGCATGACCGGTTTGGCGGTGGGTCAGTCATGGTGTGGGGTGGCATTTCTTTGGGGGGCCGCACAGCCCTCCATGTGCTCGCCAGAGGTAGCCTGACTGCCATTAGGTACCGAGATGAGATCCTCAGACCCCTTGTGAGACCATATGCTGGTGCGGTTGGCCCTGGGTTCCTCCTAATGCAAGACAATGCTAGACCTCATGTGGCTGGAGTGTGTCAGCAGTTCCTGCAAGAGGAAGGCATTGATGCTATGGACCGCCCGTTCCCCAGACCTGAATCCAATTGAGCACATCTGGGACATCATGTCTCGCTCCATCCACCAACGCCACGTTGCACCACAGACTGTCCAGGAGTTGGCGGATGCTTTAGTCCAGGTCTGGGAAGAGATCCCTCAAGAGACCATCCGCCACCTCATCAGGAGCATGCCCAGGCGTTGTAGGGAGGTCATACAGGCACGTGGAGGCCACACACACTACTGAGCCTCATTTTGACCTGTTTTAAGGACATTACATCAAAGTTGGATCAGCCTGTAGTGTGGTTTTCCACTTTAATTTGGAGGGTGACTCCAAATCCAGACCTCCATGGGTTGATAAATTTGATTTCCATTGATAATTTTTGTGTGATTTTGTTGTCAGCACATTCAACTATGTAAAGAAAAAAGTATTTAATAAGATTATTTCATTCATTCAGATCTAGGATGTGTATTTTAGTGTTCCCTTAATTTTTTTGAGCAGTGTATATATATATATATATATATATATTTATTTATTTATTTATTACAATTGTTTTTATTTTTGTTGCTGCCCCAAGTTAAGTCAGCCCTGATACCAGTAGAAGATGATAGATCATTGCTAGAAGCCCATCTTCAAAGACCTGAATGTGTTGCCACTTCCTTTGGCGACTTTTTGTCACGAGTTGCATGCATGTTGTCACCTCAATTCGAGTTCTCAATAAAGCGGGGGACATGAGCTCAAGCTTCATGTCCACCAGATGAATGAAACCCTTTGCGTTCTGGCGGAAGTAATTCATTGTCAATGGAGCAGTCCGCAGCGCTAGGTTTGGGATGCGCTCTAGGCTGCAGTGCGTTCTGTGTACTTCATGCCTTACAATATTTTCAATTAGTGCATTGCATTACCATGTGGTGATATATGCACAAGTTCATAAAGATCCCCATGGGGGGTGGCACCATACAGAGGCCAAAATGATAATGACTATTGTGTAGTTAGAGATGAGAAGATACCGGCTGAATGACTGGGCATTTGTCTCCTATAAGAATGACGCTGGGACAATTCATCATTACCACACTTGGGTAGTACAGACCAGCCAACAGAATGGCATGCAAAATGAATACACACAGAATTGTTCTGTGTGTAATTTAGCATGTCATCTTGCAGGGCAAGCTAGTGATTTGAAATCAGTACTCTCTATGGGGAAAAAAACAGTTCAATGATTTGATGTTGCTAGAGATTAATTTGACAGAAGAATAGAAACAAACTAGATGAATTGTTGTAATGCGACCTTGTGCACGCCAGTCTGTTGGTAGCTCTGCCAGCCTATGAAACCAGTAGGTAGATAGGAGAGTAACTTTCATTTGTTTTAATTATTAGCTTTGGTCGAACAGGGCGAAGATTATCTTCATGCTGCACACCGTGCTGCAGCCATGTGAAGCACATGTACGGAAAATGCGGGCTAGACATCCTGCAAAAACAACATATGGCAAAACGCATGTGCATCTGGTGGACATATGGCGTCAGAACAAATTAAAGCAGATGAGAAAAGTGAGGAAACTGGGAAAAAATGATGGCTGTTCAATTTGGAGCGCATTTTGCCATGGTGGGGGGGTCGACCGCTTTGCCCCAAACGTCACTTCTACAGGCACCCTGGAAGGAAGTTTGCATTGTCAGCCTTTCGAGCTGCTGCTGGGAGAGGGAACAAAACGTCTTGATATACATTTTTAACATTTGTCTACTTTTTTTTTTTCGTTGTATAAAAATGAATTGCCTTCCCACCGGATTCATCCTAAAAAGGGCATTATTTCCCTTATTGCTCACCTTTCCATTGATCTATGGAACGCCGTCCCGGTATAACCAGGGGTATAACATGTTCCAGGGAAGCGCATACTCTGGCTCAGAACAAAGACAGAGGAATAAGTGAGTCCATTTTTCATAAACGTTTGGCCATGTATAATTTGATAATTTTGTGTGTAGTTTTGACTGATCATTTATGGTTATTATTGTCTTAATTGTCTAGAGTATACTTATTTTAATTCTTTCTGATGCCTCTTTCGCTGTAGGCCCATACTGAATTAGATATAGTTTTTGTTTTTGGCATCGACATTTGAACAAAAAAAACTAAATTCTTATAGGCCTACACATATAGCCTATGTTATTTTTTACTTATTTTTTTTAGAATGGAATAAAAATGGTAATGTACAATTTCGCTGCAATCTCATAAAATAATGAAATCAACAAATATGTATGGTAGGCTACAGAATTATTTAGATTATTCGACTTCAAGGATTCATTTCTATAGAATAGGCGGCATTTTTTCGTCATTGTCATTTTGTGTGACACATTAATGCTTTTCCAGAAACTGGTGCGCATACGTTGTGCACAAGAACGTGAGCTGTGCGGTCGTTGGAGGCACGGAGAGCTTTGTGCTGCCGGAGTCCGCGCCATGCCCGAAACATCAGCCCAACTGCGCGCAACAAGTGATGTAAGTGCCCCAAGACGCTCGAAAGGGTGGAGTGCTGCTATTTTTATTGGTCTAAAGAGCGGTGTTACAGTAGTGACTCAACATCATTCAAGTATGACGACTTTGAACACTTATGCCGCATTCAAGTGTTAGTCGGAACTAGGAAACTCTGTAATTTCCGACATGCTAACTGGTTGAATGCAGCACGCGTATAACTTCTACCAGTTAGTAAATCGGACATTTTCGAGTTTCGGAATTCCGACTAGCACGTGAACGCAGCAATAATTTCGAACGTTCATAAGATTTCCATATGTATCAAACAATAGAGCTAGCCAGCGTGTAGTCTTAAAACCCGGAAATGAGTTACCTCTGGTTCATTCAGACATCCCTATGGAACAATGAATGGGGAAATAATATGGTTTTGGAATTAACACCGAAAATAAGGTCTGAGGTTAACACAGGCTCAGGAGATCTTATATGTTTTGTTCTGTGAGATAATAGCAGTCATGAATTATGAAGCCTTTATGTGCTTTTTTGTTTTACAAACTTCTTCAAATAAATAAAAAATGGACATTAGCTGATTAAGATTATTTCATAGAACAAAACGTATAAGATCTAAGCCTGTGTTTACCACATACCTCATTTTCGGCATTTATTCAAAAACCCTACAAAAACACCTTTCATTTTCCTCATAGGCTTTGTCTAACGAATCATGGCGGAGTTGGTGTCTACAAAAAGATGCCATTACTATTTCTCTCTAGTGTTGAGGATCCATGGTTGGTCCCATCCTCTGCCTGAGACTGTCTCTAAGAAATAGTATTCAAAACACTGTTACATGATTGCATTGTTTATTGGCATTCCAACTAAACCTGTGTAAATCTCAGCAAAGAAAATAACTAGTCAGCTGTTAATGTAGGCTATTGTATTCATGATTGCCATCAGCAAGTTTATCACTGCACTACAGCAGCAGAGGGTATGTCTCTGTGATCTTTGCACCCACTGTTAGGTCAGTTGGGTCACTAACTGGGATAGTGTGTAGTGATAAACCTAGGACATAGGCCCCTACTTGTCCCGTCATCCTCTGTAATCTGTCTTCACTCCTTCCGATCATCAGATTATTCAATATTTACGACAGATCATCTCTGGGTGATTTAGACGTTTATGAGACAAGTGAATTTGATTGATTGATTCTTTATGGTCTATTTGTCAGTGTCTGCGACAAGTAAAATGTCCACGAGCCATTGAGCTTTATGGTAGATAAGGGGGGGGATAAAGGATTGTGCAGCTGAGAAGAATAGGCCCTTTATCTTCCTAAACTGTAAATAAGCAACTGCTTGTCCTGGCACGCATGGCACTGTTACTCCCAGCCCCCCTGTGCAACATCAGAGGCATCTGACACATTTCTCCTTGGGTTGGCTGCTTTCATGTGTGTTATGATTGAACATCATGTTGGGCAACAAGCAGCCAGCTCTGAGATAATATCCTGGGGCCAGTGACGATGCGTGGTTCCACATTTGACTGGGTGTGAATGGTGGAAAATATGAGGCAGCGTTAAAAGGAGTGCATGATTCATTAGGAGTGTGACTGGCTAGCTAGCCCATTTGGAGTTTGTTGTCATAAATAAACAGATCTTTATTGCTCGACAAAGCATTGTTCACATTTCATTAACATAAAGGCCCATTGAAACTTTAAAGCAGAAGGTCACTGTAGAATAACATTGAGGGGGTTTTATGTTGTGATCATAATTGCTAGAGTATGTCTTGGTTGAAGTCTTTCCTTTGAGCTGTTCCCGATGTCCTTCATGGTTAGATTGATTAAATCTGTTTTAAAATATGAATATCATTACCATTGCTAATTCGTGAGGACTGCCAGTCAAGTTAAGTCAAAACGATCTCCCCAATGTAGAAAATGTGAATGCACCTTTAGGTCATCTCTTTCTAACCATCATCTTTATTTTTCCCAGGTATCGGACCCAATTCCGCCCCATGTATAAGGTTAGCTATAAGCTGGTGACCGAGCTGGAGTGGAGGTGCTGTCCAGGGCACCAGGGTCATGACTGCAAAGACCTGAAAGGCATCCCATCCCATCAGACAGTGCTGGGGCCTCGGCCCACCCTGCCGCCTGCCCCTGGTCACGTCCCAGAGACACAGGGTAGGAGAGTTGCTTAAACCTACCTCACCTTGTAGAGACAGATACCTGACCCTAAACCCTATATAGAGCCCATACATGACTAGTATGCTTGTTTTCTCATATGATTCGTTTAGGAATGTTTTGCACTACTCTACTAATGTAATCATGTAAAACATAGATTACACCCACAATTAGATGTACATATCCTAGATGAAAATAGGATTTATCCTAACCATCTGATAACCCCCCTGTAGGTCCGGGGCAGCAGGCATGGGGTCAGAGTGGCCACCCCTGGGGGGCAGGGAGGCAGCCAGGAGGTCAGACAGGCCAAGGGCCGGTGGGGGGCCAGGGAGGGAAACAGACAACACAGCCGCTGGAGGAGGAGGTACAGCGTCTGTCCCAGCAGGTTCTAGACATGCAGGCAGCCATGACCAGCCTGTCAGCCAACCTGAGAGTGGACCTGCAGGAGGACGCCAGCAAGATGCTGGTCACGCTGCTCAACATCTTGCAGCAGCCAGACAGCGTGCGTGGGGAGCAGCAGAGCATGCTGCTGCAGGGTCTTTCCCTGGAAAAGGAGTACAACACGGTGGACATGGACAAGTTCACGAGCAAGATCAACCACCTCACCGACACCATTAACACCAAGAGCAAGGTACTGGACGACCTCCAGGTCAGAGTCAACCACTATGACGGACAGCTCCGCCTGCTAATGGAGGCCAGCCCGGCCACACCCCCTCCCGCTCCTCCGGCCAATGATGCGACCCTGCGCGCCTACGTGGACACAAAGTTCCACGCCCTGAAGAACGAGATGATGGAGGGCATGGAGATCAAGATGGCGGACCTGAAGAACTCTTGTGACTATAAGATGCTGTCGGTGCAGGAGCAGTGTGAGGGCCAGGAGAACAGCTACCTTAGCCTGACCGAGCTCCTCGAGTCCAAGGAGATGGACCTCCGCAAGGAGATCCAGGACCTCAAGAACCAGCTGCCTAATTCACAGAGGGAAGACGGAACCTCTTCAGGGGTGGAGGAGCTGCGGAAGGAGCTGTTCCGGGTCACTGAGGCCCAGCTGAGCCTCCAGTCCAGCCTAGAGAAGAAGTCCAAGCCTGACCCACTCCTGCCCCGTGTGGAAGAGCTGGAGGCCCGTCAGAACAGTTCGGAGAGGAGTGTGGAGGTGCACAGCCTCTTCCTGGAGGAGAAGCTGAGGAGAGAGGGGGCGGAGGGGGCCGCAGACCTGAAGAAGGCTATGGAGGACAGGATGAGCTCCATGGAGGACCAAGTCACCACTCTACTGGTGGAGATAAGCAGCCCCGTATCTGGGGCTCAGACTGGGCTAGAGGCACTGCAGAGTGAGGTGGCCTCTCACAAAACCAGTGTTCAGGCTCTGGAGGAACAGACTAAATGCCCTAGAACATCTGTGCTCTACGGAGTGCAAGTCTGACCAACCGGCCATAGAGAGCATTCAACAGAACCTCCAGGTCTACAGAACCAGCCTGGACACAATGGAGTCTAGCATCAATGAGCACTCAGCTAGTCTTGGAGACATGGAGGATTTTGTCCAAGGGCAGCTCCTGAACCATACTGCCAGTCTTACAGATGTGCAGGAAGAGCTGGGAGCTCTTAAAGGACGTATGGGAGGACAGGAGGGCTCTCTGTCAGCCTTGGGTCTCTCTCTCAGCCAGCAGTCCCTGGAGCTCCAGGGGCAGCTTCTGAACCACAGTGCCAGTCTTAGAGGCGTGGAAGAAGCGCTAGGAGCTCTTAGTGGACGTATGGGAGAGCAGGAGGGCTCTCTGTCGGCCCTGGGTCTCTCTCTCAGCCAGCAGTCCCTGCAGCTCCAGCAACTGAACACCTGTTGCCTAAGAAGTGCAGGGCCGGCCCATGAGGCCAGGGACCTGCTAGAGCTCCACCTGGCCCAGAGAGAGGAGCCAAGGGCCAGGCTGGAGGAGCTGGGCCGGGAGGTGAGGGCTGAGGCAGACCACTGCAGGAACAGGACCGAGGGCGTAGCTCTGGACGTTGCCAGCGTGGACAGCCGGGTTACCAGCTTGGAGAACGTGTGCGGTAGGCTGGAGCCCATCTCCAGCAGCCTGCACAGGATCAAGGAGGGGCTGAACAAGCATGTGACCGGCCTGTGGAACTGCATCAGCCGGATCAACGGCACATTGCAAGCCCACACCACGGACATCAGAGGACTGAAGAGAACATACCAGAACCTCCAGGACCACTTCTCAGGCATCAACCAGGACCTACATCATCTGACCACCAGTCCTGAGAACACTGGTAAGACTTGACATTGAGATTGACAACTTTGCTTGCTTAAAATGTGCATGATTATTCCAATACTCCATATGTTCTTAAACCTACAGCTCCCCTGCGATGGCTCTCTCCTGCTAAGTTAGTTTCCCACTGGTTACATTACAGTATGTAATAATAATAATAATAATAATAATAATAATAATAATAATAATAATAATAATATACATGGAGTGTACAAAACATTAGGAACACCTTCCTAATATTGAGTTGCACCTCCTTTTGCCCTCAGAACAGCCTCAATTCGTCGGGCATGGACTACAAGGTGTTGAAAGCGTTCCACAGGGATGCTGGCTCATGTTGACTCCAATGCTTCCCACAGTTGTGTCAAGTTGGCTGGATGTCTTTTGGGTGGTGAACCATGAAACTGTTGAACGTGAAAAACCCAGCAGCGTTGCAGTTTGACACACTCAAACCGGTGCGCCTGGCACCTACTACCATACCGCATTCAAAGGCAATGAAATATTTTGTCTTGCCCATTCACCTTCTGAATGGCACACATACACAATCCATGTCTCAATTGTCTCAAGGCTTAAAAATCCTTCTTTAACCTGTCTCCTCCCCTTCATCTACACTGATTGAAGTGGATTTAACAAGTGACATCAATAAGGGATCCTAGCTTTCACCTGGTCAGTCTATGTTCTGGAAATAGGTGTTCCTAATGTTTTATACACTCAGTGTATATGCCATTTAGCAGACGCTTTTATCCAAAGCGACTTACAGTCATACGTGCATACATTTTACATATGAGTAGTCCCGAGAATCAAACCCACTATCCTGGCAGTGCAAGCACCATGTTCTACCAACTGAGCTACAGAGGACCACTACAATATAAGGGCAATTCCTCGGTAACGGAATTGCGCTGAGACTCAAATGTTTCACTTTAACATGTATACCAAACAAAAACCATTGATTTCAAAGTTTTAAAAACCATACAACTCTATGCACAAGGATTACTTTTAAAATTTTACACTGGACATTTTACAAAACACACTTACTGGAAGAGCTGTACAGATGCAAAGTTTGGTAACAGAATTTCTGTAAAACCGCTCTCGGTTTTTATGTGACCACGTTTTCCAAAAACTATGACATGACACATTGACTTAGAAAAAAATCTATTTTGGTTATTGAACTACAGTAAGTGAAGTAGATTTACACTCTGTAACAGAATTGCGGTAACGGAATTCCATCATGGATCCCTGATCTGTAGTACACAGAAATGCATCATTATGGATATGAACGTCATTCTCTTCATGGTGATGTATCCTAAATAGGTAGGCCCACACAAAGGTTAAAATATGCAATATCCTGCTTTTCATGTTTGGGTATTATTCTACACACGGGCTATTATTGTAATGAGCTACGCCCCCAAGCAAGGCCAAATTTGACCGGACAAAATCTGAACAAATCATAGATGTCTGTTTCACAAGTTAGAGTAGAGGACAGGAGAGTTCAGTACATTATACTGTACTGAGCTATACTCTACTCAACTTTTTACTTTACTGTGCTCTACTGTAGTGTACTGTGCTCTCCACACGTCTATGATTGGTTTAGTTTTGTTCATCTGTGGACATCTGTGGACATTGAAATTAAAGCCGGTCCGGACCGTACCAAAAACGACATCTGTGGACGTTGAAATCAAGGCAAGGGGCGGACTGACCAAATTTCAACTACTTTTCAGCGTCCATGGACGTCCGATGTCGGTCAGTGCTGAGTAGATAAGAATGCTGGTTACAGTAAATGGAAAGAGAGGGGGCTCATGGGTAGGTGTCAGTAAGAGCCGGGAGAGGTGACATTAACTGGAGAGAGCGAGGCGGAGAGAGAGAGGGAGGGGTTGTCCAGACTATTGTCACACTTGCTTTGACCACCAGACGACAGAAAGAAAAATAAAGGCTTTATGAGTTGAACGTAACCGTATGCCAGCGGAAGGGAGGACTGTAGCAGGTGACCCAACGGTGGTTTGTGACTACTATGATTTCCCATTGTAGCCAATTCAATTGCAGTAATTCCATTACTGATTTTCCAGAAATGCCATTACCAATTTGGTAACATAGTTTTTTGTTTTAACCACTTAATAATTCATAAACCAAATAGATATCAGTAAAAACACTAACTAATTGGTAGGTCTACCTTGACTTGTTACTTCTGTGAACTTTCATTATACTACTCCCTCATGAAGGAGAGACATTTGAAAATATCTTAACGATATGCGGGTTTTTGGTAACGGGATTTCAAGGCAAAGGGCAATTGTTTGTAAACTTACACAAGGCAAAACATTTCTCCAAAACTATGTGTTGATATTAGTTGGCAGGTGTGTTTACTTCAACAGTATTGTGTTTTGAAGTATTTTTAATACCTTTCAAGACTTTCTCGTAGATGTTTTCTAAGATCCCTTTTCCATCTGTTTGACCAGAAATAAAAGCCTTTGCGTATCCCTAATATTTAGGATGGAAAATGATTGAAAAATGTATATATGCCTTATTTTCTCTTAGTCTAACTTTTCATTTGACTCCAGATTTGACCTATGAACTTCACATATTGGTGCCCATTGGCCCTTTTACATGGAAATGACCATCATCCAGGTGTTCCAGTTGCAGAGACTGGAGATTACAATCAAATGGTGCTAATAAGATGAACTTCAGAGCTGCAGCTGGGGACAATTTGAGTTGTGTTTAATGTAGGACGGTTAGTTGAGTGTATGAGAACAGAGGGAGAGGGGAAGCTGGATTTCCATCTGACTGCGTTCTGACTCTGAGAGTAGGCAGCAATCATTGAACACACATGGTCGTTTTAATAGACCCGGTTTGGGTTGAGCAATACCTGGGCTTTAAGGGATTATTACCGTGCGTGCATGCATGCATTTCTGTTGTAACTATATTTTCTTGCTGTCCCATAGTCATCTGTGAGTTCAAAACCCCCATATCCTTGGACATGACGAATAACTAGTGTGGACATGGACTCAGTTATAAATGATGGTGCCCAGGCGAGTCAACTGGACTCAGCTGAGTCCCACAACGGGGAATTAAGACGCTAGAAGCACACTCCATAACATTTATGAGCATAGCGCCTCTTCTTCTGAATACAGCTCAACATGACTTACTGGTTTACAGAGCAGCTCTGCACACTCCTGTCCTGGCTGTGAAGCCAGAGGTAGAGTCTTTGGATCGGAGTCACTGTTTCTCATTCCTGGGTGTAGCTCTGGAAGTCAAGTGTGAGCCTTAATATCCGCCCTACTTTGAAAGGCGGATGTCACACTTTTCCCATCGTGCGAAATGTGCACATGGAGATCCTGATAAATGTAGTGTCAGTACGCCGCCCTTCACTTGTAACAACTTATATTTAAAATCATTATTCTGTCAGCTAGAATGTTTGGGTTGTACCCCTCAGAGGGCAGCTCGCTATTCATATGTTCCAAACTGGATGCTGTTTTACCACAAGTCACATTGGGATGTCTTTGTCTCATACTTGGCTCACTGCTTCTCTTTTGTCCTGGACTGGTCTCTGGCTTGCACAGCTGACTACTTATAAGGAAGTGGAAAGTGATGTCCATTATAGGGAGGTCTGTCATTGGCTTATCAATTGTCTACTTATAGGAACCAATCAGATGGTTTGTTATTCGAGAGCTGAGTGGCCCGAGTGTCTCAGTGGGTTCAGATCAGGTGCTTCTGGGTTGATATGACATCACACCCTCCTACCTCCTTACTCTTCCGCTCAGTGCCCTTGTGTTCCCTCTCTCTTTCTCCCTCTCTCCCTGCTCCCTCTTGCTCGGGTGTTGTTGAATATGTTTAGCACACTCATGGCCCTGTCGCTCTCCTCTTTCTAAATAAACACACAGGGCTCTATTTTCGACTGGCGCTAAGGAGGCGCAAGTGTCAAATGCACGTTGGTTTGCCATTTCGTCGTGTAAAAACTGGCGTACTGGCATATTCCAGCCCTAAAACCAGGTTTGGCATTTTACCTGTCTAACTTCAGCTCACTTGCGCTGAGGTGGGAGGGGTGGCAATATTTGAGGTGTGTCCTTAAAAACAAGTGCAATAGTGACAATTTCATGCAGCTATAATGGGAAGTTTTAAGACCGACAAAAAGCAGGTCTTATCAGTAACGCAGTTGATAATGGCATGGATTTTGAGAGCGGAAGCGCAGCCTATCCAGCCATGACGCACAGTGCCCATGGAAGGAGAGATGTGCCTTTTGTCCTGGTGAATCTCGTAATTATATAATTTTTATATCCCCCATTTCGTTTAATTTGATTAAAAACCAAGCATAGCCTACCCTCCCCTTAATTAATCAAGGCTGGTTTAGCACCATTACATAGCTGCATGTTTTTATCCTGGCCATAAGCCAAAAGTAGCCTATAAATAAAGGACTTTTAAATGGTCTACTGAGAGTCCTTTGAAATGTTTTTGAGGTTTTTGCCCTCATGCTTTTCCTTATTCACAATTCACATACCTCAATCAATCAAATGTATTTATAAAGCCCTTTTTACATCAGCAGATGTCACAAAGTGCTATACAGAAACCCAGCCTAAAACCCCAAACTGCAAGCAATGCAGATGTAGAAGCACGGTGGCTAGGAAAAACTCCCTAGAAAGGCAGAAACCTAGGAAGAAACCCAGAGAGGAACCAGGCTCTGAGGGGTGGGCAGTCTTCTTCTGGCTGTGCCAGGTGGAGATTATAAATGAGTGATGGCCATTAAGGCCAGAATGTTCTTCATGATGTTCAACTGTTCATAGATGACCAACGGGGTCAAGTAATAATCACAGTGGTTGTAGAGGTTGCAACTGGTCAGTACATCAGGAGTAAATGTCACTTGGCTTTTCATAGCCGGTCATTTAGAGGTTGAAATAGCAGGTGAGGTAGAGAGAGAGAGAGAGAGTTGAAAACAGCAGGTTTGGGACAAGGTAGCACGTCCGGTGAACAGGTCAGGGTTCCATTGCCGCAGGCAGAAGAGTGGAAACTGCTACAGCAGCACGACCAGG